AGTTCTTAAAGTTATTAAATTAAGTTATTATCCTTCAGATACCTAAAACCTTGCTATACGTGTTGAAGTCTATTTTTTCAGTCGGTAGACTTCGTAATCGACTCGTATAACAATATCAAAAAAATTTTGATTACATATTTTTCAATAAAATGTCTAACTAACCCTATTTGAATTTTTTTTAAAAATCCAATCACCACTTCATATATCCTTCACCAGCCTTAAGAATATCTTTGATCCATTGTGACATTATGTTAATTAATTTTAAACAAATATCAACATCAATCTGATTCTATACTAGTTGAATCTTATTCTACAAATCTTCTGTATTGGTAATATTATCAGAAAGTTGTCACAAACGATGATCAACTTCATTTCACAAATGTTTAATGGGTTTAAGTCTAGTGATTATGCTGGCCAATTCAAAACCTCAACAAGATTATCATCAAACCATTTAATTGTTTTATTAACTGTATGCTTTGGATTATTATTCTGTTGGAAAATGACATCATTTACAATTAAATCACATGTGCTAAGAGTTCCAAAAAACTCATTTTTCAAAATGTCTTGATATAAGTCTCTATTTATTCTTTTATCAATTTTACAATATAATTCTACACCAAATGCACCTATACAATCCCATATCATCACAGAATTCCACTAAACTTAATAGTTGGTTTAATATGTTATGACTGCAAATATAAATTTGTATTCTTCCAATACTATTCCCTGCTATCTGAACCAAAAAGCATAAATTTACTTTCATCTGATCACACCACCCTTTTCCAATTTTTTATAGTCTAATTACAATACTTTTTGACAAACTTTTTTCAAGCAATTCTATATCTTTTTAAGAGTAATAGTTTTTTTTACTCTAGTTACAAGAAATTTACTTTTTAATGAACGCTGAATTGTATTTGAAGATATATTAATATTTTTATTAGAAATTAAACTTTTTTGGATTTGAATAGCATTAGAGTATTCACCTGACTTTATAAATTTGCAATATTTCTATCATGATGCTTTGTAAGAATTCTAAGGTGGCCTAGTTTTGGAATAACATTAAGACTACCAGTTTTTTCTTTCCTTTATTTATTCTTATTACAGAGAAATGATTAACATTTTCACGAAAAGCTATTAAATGACTTGAATATCTCTCCTGAAAAAGGATAAAGATACGTTCCCTTTAATAATATAGTATCGCCTTCATTATAAAACAAAAAAATTCTGTGGGAAAGTAATACAAAGTGATTATAAATTAGATTTATTTATATTTATTATGGCGTATCTCACAAGCATCGGTTAATCATTTTTATTTAGTACCATAAATATTATTTCACAAAAAAAATACACAACTTAAAAGTTTTGTAAAAAGCCACAAATTAAATACTAATCAAGTTTTTTATTTATTAAAAATAAAGTTACAGCTTTAAAGTTAGTTAAATTTTAAAATTAGACAATTACTTCAATTTTGCAAAATTATGATTTAAAAAAATTAAGCGGAATAGTGCAATAATTGTGAAAGTCACTGTATATATTATATTTTTATTATATTATATTATTAAATTATTTAAAATTTAAAAATTTTAATAAAAAGATTTGATTACTAAATATTAAAACAGTATTTTAAATATATTTTAATTTTATATAATTTTAATATTTATAATTATTTGTAATTAATTATATTATTATTTTTTATTTAAATTATATTATTTATTTAATAAGTATTTAAAAACCAATTAAATTTATTTTGATATTTTTACTTATAATAAATTATATAAAATATTATTAAAAAAAATTTTAATATAAATTATTTTAATAATTTTTTAATAATTATTATATTAGTAAAAACTAAAAGTATTTTTATATATATTGTTTATATTTAGGTACTATATATATCTTGATTATTTGATTAAAGCTTCAAGTTATATATGGAAGGTTTACTAGGATGATATTATAAAATACATTATTTTTAAAATATTTTTTTTTGAAAACCTCTTATATAATCAATCACTTTTATTATACTTGTACTTTGAACTTAAATAACAGTTTTATAAAAACTGATTTATAGTTGATATTAAATATAAATTAATATAATTTATATTTAAAAAAATAATTAATAATAAAATTTTCTTTATATTATAATAATTACAATTAATAATTAATAATTATATTAAAATTTAATAATGTTTAAAGAAAAATTTTTAATTAACTTTTAAATTATGATATTTTGCAAATAAAAATAAATTACATAAATAATTTAGATTATAAAGATTATTAAAAAGAAAATATGAATTTCTACTTATGAAATCTTTATGTAAACTTTTGAATAATAGAGATTTTTTTTTTAAAAGGCGAATACATTGAGTGGAATGATGGCGATTGGAGGTTTCTGAACGTTGCTATAAATCATTGAACACCAGGTTTTTGAACATTCGTGCGGAAAGTCAAGTATAGGTATGGAATAAATCAGCCGTGGGGGCTGAATAAGTGTACCGTGTGAGAGAATATCTTACCACCCGAAGGTGGCCATGCATTTGTACACGCAAATGACAATAAAGAAAAGGTTGCGACGGGTGATACTTTCACCAGGATGGTGCTAGTGCGAAGAACTCCAAGAAATTCATGGATACCAGCCCATCTCTAGCAAGTTTCGATTACGTTACACAAATACTTTAATTAAATATATGAAAAATGCAGATCAATTGTTTAAAAGCCGCAAGCTTTAGAAAATAAACATGCAAACTAATTTTAGGGAAACAAGAAAAAGTTTTTAAATGTCACACATAAAGCACAAATAATTGTAAATTTAATACCCGTGAATCGATTTGTTTAAATTTATTTCAAAGTTCAAATTAATACATCTTTGAAATCTTTTAAGGGACGATGATAAAACCTTTTAAAGTCTCCTTTGGATTATCGTTGACAAAAAGGTCGAGGTCCGATTACATACAATAAAACAAAAGAGACATTTATTTATTTGTCATACAGTAGCGGCCGCCTCTAACAACAATGAATTACAACCCTTGTTTTTGAGTCTAGTCGAATACATATAGTGCAATGACGTTGATCGACATTATAATAACTTCCCCTTACACAGATCTGACAAGTGCCTATTACAATACCTTTCCTTTTATATGATGCTTCCTTGCAGTTGTTAATTGAGGTAGTAAGGTCGTAGTAACCAAAATGATTTCATAGTGCCAAGTTTCATAATATTAGAACGCGATTTTGAAAATTATACAATAATATTTTAATTGTTTAGTATGTGGCTTTTGAATTGCCCCCCAAAACCAATTTTTATATTTGTAAATCTTGTGATTATTAATTTATACTTTGATTTTCTGTTTGGAAATTATTTTGGATGTAAAAATGTCATGAGAAATTTTTGTATCAAGTTTAGACGAAAAATAATTTTCAAGACTTGTAAGCAATATTGCCGCGATGTAGAAGATAAAAAAAAAAATTAAAATAAATTCTTGATGATCGAGTTTGAATTATTTCAACATAAAAAAATTAATTTAAATTTTTTTTTTTTTTTTTTTTTTTATCCCTTACTGAAAGACACAATAGTTTCATTTGTCATTGCAAATCAATTTATTCACATAAGCTTAGCCTACTGATTTTCATTGCCTTAAAAAGTTAATGTCAATCTAAAAACCCGTGTCCTTGTTCAAAGGAACCTGAACACACTAACTAATATGATTTCTCTCATTGATTATTTGACGTAACTTCATCTTTTTGATTTGGATATTATAACCCTACAAAAACTCTTTCGTACTAGACACCACCCTTTACATGTGAAAAAGCGTTTTAGAAATTTTCACGCTGGTTCGCTTGTTCTTCTATTATTTAAGGTATATATATAATATATATATTTCGCCTGTATATTTTGCTCAATGAATCTATATTTATAATACACACAAAAAGCTTTTGTGTTGAATTTTCAATGTGATGGTTTATAAACCATATTTTAAACAAATGAATCGTAATTTTCTTTTTTCTTTAGTTTATGTTCGTGTCCACTTAACCTTTTTATAACTTAATCAATAAACTTCTTCTTTTGTTAAAAGAACCGAAATGCTGATTTCGAAAGTCACTTATAGGTAAAAATACAAAACCCCCTCTCTTAACGAAAATTTTTTACTTGATAATAATATGTAGGTGTCTTACACAAAACGTTTTGTCTTACAACGTTCGATAATATCAAGAAAGAGAAGCAGCGCTTAATAAAAACAAACCAGTAGGTTTTCATAACTCTAACAAAGCTTATGTATGCATCGAAAAAACCATTTTTTGTTTTTATTTAAATGGTATTTAATAAAATTTGTAGTAAGCAAAATTTTTTCCATTCTTTTACGGAAACCTACAAGTTCTCGTTTTCATTTGTAAGTATGTTTTCTCATTCCATTCGTAAATAGTGAGAAACTTTTTTTTTTTCCAATTTTTTATGAATTTTCAAATAATTGCATAGGATTACAAAATTATGCTTCAACAATTTATCACGCTCGATCTTCAACAATTCCCCTCAACCAACTGACTCCTTTTGTTAGGTGCTTGGTTGGGTTTCCATATTCAATAAATAATAGAGGAGCTAAAAAAAAAAGTTCATTTTCTCTGGGATCCATACAACAGCATTTACCTTAAATAACACGGCGGAATCTCTACGAGCGGCTGAAACTTTACACATATCGTTAAATACGTACAAGTACCACAACGATTCGGGAGAATATGCAAGATCTGATCGGCTCAAATTTGGAAGTATTGAAGCTACAATCCGACAATGCAGAAGCGATGGTCGAATTGGCAAAGGCATACTGGTCGGTTGGAAATTATTCACAAGCTATAATCCATGCAAAAAAATCGGTGTTACACAAACCTACAGATTGGTTGTGGATTGATGCCGTTATCACAGCGTTCATGAATCCAAATTTTAATTATCATAATGAAGCATTGGAAGTATTGGATTCCGTGATCAACAGGTTAGACACAATAAAGCATACTATACCCAATACCGAACTTAATCAAATACAAACACTTTATCGACGGCGAGCGCTAGTTAAACAATATCTTAGTAGATATGAAGATTATATTGAGGATCTCATAAATATTATCGTAATTGCTTGTGCAAATCATATTCAATTTATAGACTTGATAGATCATATACTAGGATGTTGTAACTTTTATGGTTATTGTATACAAAATTATGTGAATGTTCAACAAACTGTAACTTTGTTGAACGGATTACAACCTCACTCTTTCGTAAATTCACCAATTCCAAGTTACTTTATGGATCCCGATTTCGTCCTAACAGGTTTACTACTTTATCTATTTCCATTTGCTCATGGATATTTACCTGGTCATACTTTCATCATTAATTTTAATGAGCGCGAGTTTGCACAAAAGGACGCCGCTTCCGCGTTCTTTGAAATTGCCAAGGCATTTGAAACAGATCCAGTGAAGTGTTCAAAATTTTTAAATGCGACACCAATGCGGTCGATATCACTACTTTTGTTATATATGTCCATTGCAGCGTATCCTACCACCGAGGCATTTCTCCTGCTTGCAGAAGTTTTAACTAAAATATCTGATTCGGTGACAATGGGTCAAGAAATTCTTGATGGGCCAAATTTAGCGTTAAAATTTTTATACAAGGCTGTTTTACTTGACCAAAATAATCCAGACATTTACATGGCAATGGCAGATATTTACTGGCGACAAAACAATTTGATAGAGGCTACTTTTATTTATCAAAAGATATATGGACGAATTAAGCCTCATGATGACGAAATAATGAGAAGATATGTTTTGGGGTGTAACGTTACCGGAGAAAAATGTAGAAGCGAAGGAAGATGGGAAGAAGCTTTAAAGTTATTTGAAACGGCATATAACATTAATTCAGACAACACTGATGCTTTGACATTTTATTCACAAGCGCTCAATTCAGTTTGTGATTGGTCAAAACGTGGTGGTGTTGGAGTTTTCTATGTAGATCAAGGCAATACTTTGATGTTCTCCAATATTCCTAAGAAAGTAGGAATGATGGGAAAGGTATCCGATGTCGTTGATAACTTTATAAAAGAAGGGGCAAAATTTGGAGATGGGGTTATCCAGCGATTTGGCGGGCTACATAAGCTCTTCAATTCCCTTTGTGTTGGACTTAATTCTGATGATGCATGCTATAAATGGTTAAAAGCAAGGGCTGATTTGATAGTCGCCACAAAGAATCCACCAAGTCTAAAAAATGAAGGTGGATTTATATTACGACTTATTAATAAGTTGACGCGTCGCGTTCAACGTCGTTGGTATCTTGAATTCTATGGAAATCAAGTTATTGCTCAGAATTCACAACCAGCAATATGCAAAAAATATAATGATAAGTACCTTCGTCCAAAGGTGCCACCCGGTTTACCACAACCTTCCCCAAGTCCTGTACAGCCATGGTATACATTTACTTATGACCTTAGCCCCAAGCAAATAAGATTGGTCAGTCATCGACAGGCACTGCACATTGCATATGATGCATTTACCGCAAATTGGCTTCCAGATACCGTTTTCCCACCACCACCGCCACCATCTCCAAGAATTAAGGTTGGATATGTATCATTTGACCTCAAAGATCACCCACTTGCTCATTTAATGCAGTCAGTTTTCGAGTTGCACAATCGACAGCATTTCGAGGTTTACGTTTACGCGTTAAACCCTGATGATGGTTCTATATACAGGCAAAAAATAGTAGCTGGCTGCGATCATTTTAGAGATTGTAGCGGTAGCTCTACCAAAGATATATGTGATCAGATCGTTCAGGATGGCATCCATATTTTACTCAACTTGAATGGATATACAGCAGGGGATCGCAATCATATTTTTGCTGCTCGACCTGCACCTATTCAAATGCAACATATGGGATTTGCTGGTACTATGGGTGGACTGTGGACCGATTATAACATCGTAGATGATATGATTGTTCCATCAATGTTAACCAATGAAGATGCATATAAGCGTAAAGTTAAACATCATGTAGGTGATATTTGTGAAGAATTAGATCCTGAAGATGATGATGATAATATTTGGGTATATCCAGAAAAAATCCTGAGTCTTCCAGATACCTACTTTGTCAATGATCATAAGCAAGGGTTCCGAGATGATCAGCATATAAGAGGCACTGTCTTTTCAACTCGTTTAGATATTCAATGGACTCTCGAAGAGGACAAACGCTGGAAGATGCGCCAGCAACTATTCCCAAATATTCCCGACGATTGGGTGATCTTTGCCAACTTTAATCAATTATACAAAGTGAGTTTCATTTGCCCTATTAACCCATCAACTTTTTCTATATTGTCTCGACGATAAATATAATGTTTGGTGAATACTAATAATGACCTTTCTTTCCTTTGTAGATTGACCCGGTCATATTCAAGGTGTGGCTAGAAATACTTGAGCAAGTGCCTAACTCTATCTTATGGTTATTAAAATTTCCTGCAGATGGTGCCAAAAATTTATATAATACTGCTGTACAATGGGCTGGTGTAGGAGTTGCAAGCCGCATTCATTTTACAGATATAGCAGGGAAACACGATCATATTCTTCGTGGAAGAGTTGCAGACCTAGTTTTAGATACACCACAAGTAAATGCGCACACAACAGCATGCGATATCTTGTGGTCGGGAACTCCGATATTGACGCTTTGTGGAAATGATCATAAATGGTGTTCAAGAGTTGCTGCTTCAATATGCAAATCCACTGGGTTTGGTGACAAAATGATTGCCAAAGATCACGCTGACTATGAACGAAGGGCAATCGAACTAGCTAGGTCGGTGAGATATAATTATTGGCAACCAAATCCACATTTTATGCCTCCGCAAGTTCATCGAAGTGGAATTGGTGAACTCGTCGAATTGAGGAAAAAGATCTTTCTCAATCGCGATAATATGAAACTTTTTGATACTCAAAGAATTGTAGCGAATCTAGAAAAAGGTTATGCTATGGCTTGGGAATTTTGGGTTACAGATAATGAAAAGAATATTAAGGTGCTATAGATTTATTGGAAATAGGAAAGATTTTAACTAGTTAGTGATACTTCAACATTCACATGTTAAGCAGAGTGAGAGATTTATATATTTTTGACATTTCGTTAAAAGATTATACGTGGTAGAGAGGATATAATAGATATATGGTTTTTTTTTAAAAAAAATGGATTTACTTATCAAATCTGCATGATTCATTACCCAAATTTTTTTTTTTTTCCTCTTTTAGTAATAAAAATTTTTCGATGATCCTATAATTTATAGGGGTTGTAAATACAAAATCTAAAACAACAATAATAATAATAATGTTAGTAAGATAGAATATATCACGAACGGTTTTTTTTTTTTTTTTTCAAATATTAATGCATTTTCATTACACTTTTGCGAATATCATGTTTTATAGATTCAAGTGGTAATTTTATTTTTAAAAATTAAAACTCGGTAATTTATTTTAATATATATATATATATATATTTCCTTTTAATAAAAAAATCTTGGGACATTAACTTTTTATTGCGGCTTGATTATATTTACTTTTGGTCGAAATGATTCGAATGAGCGTATCAAAGAAATGTAGGTTTTATGTGCTTAGCGCGTTATAACGTAGGAACTTACATAATGGAGCTGAAAGCTTATATTATAAGATCGTAAGATAAGTGAATATCTGCTTGTAAGTTATTGCGACAAATCTCGGGAAAATTTTTGAAAAAAGTCGAGAAAAGTTGCAAAACATCTGAACCAATGTCTCACTGACCGACTTGCGGAAGACACTACAAAATTGGATTTCATTATGCACTCCTATGAATCAAAAGTCCGGAAGAAAGACATTTAAATTAACCAATATTATTTATTCTATTGGTTGACGCGCAATTATTTTTAGAAAAAATACATAATTTAAAGAGATGAAAACCGAATAATATGAGTGATCCAGAATAAATGTTGTTTTGGAGACGAATGATTGCTTTATCAAATTAATGACCCTTCCCGGCGATTGCAAAGTGAATTAATGAAAAATGGATGTAAATAGTCTTTACCCCACGGGAAAGCATGTCTGGAGGTACATCAGTATTTTTACCCGTCTAATAAAGCACGTGTTTTAACAGTTAGGACTTCCCAAGAGATGTTTATCTGATGGAGTACGTACTTACTTTCATTTGGGGTCTTTGCAATAGAAAGGGGGGAAACAGCCGGGAAAAATTAATTTTACTTTATATGCCAAATATGATTTTTATGCTGAAATATGTTCAAATTTAGCATTAACTCACTTTTGATTTTTTCAGCTGTTTCCCCCCTTTCTATTGCAAAGGCCTCATTTGTTTAAAAGAAATCAAAGAGGCTCATCTTACTAGAAATACAATACAAATTGGCCAACTTATTGATATAGTAATATCCAGATTACCTGTTCCGATCTATCCGGATTATTCGGGTTCGGAAATTCGGATGACGGATTGAAACAAGCTTTTATAAAGAAAGTTTTGAGATATAAAGAACATCTGGATCAAATTATATTTCCTATCATGTAATTAAGGTATCGAACTTATAGGTTGACAACAAGTTCTAGTTTGGTAAGTTCTTCAAATCTTCTGAAGGAAATCGTAAATATGAAATATTTTCTCCAGAATCAGTAGACCTTCGCATGAAAATAACTCATAATGTCCGTCCGATACGAATTCAAAACCAATTCGTTACACAGAAATATCCCATAATTTTAAAGACCCGGGTATTTAATTATACGCAGTGATGTGTTTCCTCAAAGTGCTCTCTAGTTACACAAACATTTTCTTTACGTAATATAAAAAAATTTTGTTTTAAGCTCTCCACCCTAACTATTTTATTAAAAATTAAAAGTACATTATGAAACAAAATTCTATTATGGTAGAAAATTCAAGAATGTGTAATTCTAATAGAGGATAGTTTAGAAGTATTAAATCTTGAACCATGTGCTTATTTTTCAGTAGAATATATAAATTTTATGGTATTAAATAAATAAATAAATATATTTTTTTTAAATAATGTCCAATTAGAAATTATAAAATTTTCTTAATAATAATATTATACCTGGTAATTTTCTAATTAATAATAAAGCAAATAAAGTTCTAATAATAGTAGCTATGATACAAGATTTTTGTACTGCCATAAAATATTCACGCCAACCTCCTGCCCAAATTATTCTACAAATTAACCCAATTATTTAAATGATTATTTATTTAGTTGAAATAATATATATTTAAATAAATAAATTAAACTAATACCTTCGTGTTTTTAATTCTGATATTTGTCTCTTATAATTCTTACGATTATGTCTTAAAAAATACCATACAAAAAAATTCACATCCCAATAATCAAATTTTGGTCTTTTAGCATCTAGTCTTCTTGGCGGTTCTTCGGTTTGTCGATACATCATATCTATTAAATCACTTGTCATTTGTAATGTTAACCCCCATAACCTTAATATTCTCGTAGTTACTCCATCTACATCAACATGAGGCAATCCAATACAATGAAAATGCATTCTTCCTATAAGTGTCTTGAATATATTTTGTAATATCCAAGATTTCGGTGCCAACCTTGAAGATAAATCTATCGATTCTGGATCCCATTTTTGCGTAATCTCGGAATTAAAGAATATTGATAACGGTATCCAATGTGTTGATGCAACTTCGGATCCTGAGATCTCAATTGGCGGAGATTCTTTTGTGAGTTGTAAAAAAACTAAAAAATAAATAAATATAAATATATAACTATTTCGAGAATAAAACTAAACCATAAAAAATTAAAAAAGTTTACCAAAGGGACAAAGAACCATTAGTAAAATTTTTCCAAATGTTGAAGTTATCTCTCTGTCATCCAGCGCTCCAACACACATAAATAATTTATGATTTCCAAGATCTAAACCAACTAATAATAAAGATGAAATAAAAATGTTTGATTTTAGATGGGTTCTTTTTTACACTCAAATGAAAATCATATAATATAATAAAGAAATTCAATAATATTACTTTACCCTCCTCGAATGTTTCTCTTTCAGCTGTATCCAAATCATCAACATCATTAATATCTTGCTTACCACCAGGGAAAGCCATTTGTCCGCTCCATCGATCACCTTCCCTTAAAGCCCTTTTAATGTAAAAAATTTCCGGTTCTCCATTTTTTACCCATTCAAATTTCCAAAAATCTTCTAAATCTGTTATTGAATTGTTATCGTTATTTTCATCTTCACTTTGCGAAGATATATTTGAAGATAATTCAGAGGATTCAAGTTTATCATGTTCATGTGATGAACTTTTAGGTCTAATACGAATTATCATTGCTATACTCGCTCTACGAGGTTGATATGATGGTGAACGTATTTTATGTGGTGAAATATTTTCAAGGTTTGAAAATGCAATTTTAAGACGATCTAATGTTGAAAGTACTATTAAAAAAAAAAATATGTTAATTTATTTGATATTATAAAATCGAAATAAGTGATTGTTTACCTTTATCTGACATTTTTATCATGAAAAAAAATTTTTTTTTTCAGTTTATAGACGATAAATTAAAAATGTTGATCAACTTTTTTTTTTGGATAATCGTTATTTATAAAAATCAGATGGTTGTGGGAAATATACATACGCCAACCCCTTATATCCCTTAAAAGTTTTAGAATTGTACGAAATTCAATAAAAGAACATAGGGCCAGAAATGATTACGTCATTTTAATTTCTTTATAAAAATTTATAGTCTTTAATATTTCTTGTATTATCTCTTGATTTGTTTTATATTATTTCATGTTAAATATCTATTAAGTGTAACTAACACAAGCTTGTTCGAATGAAATATCCAAAATGAATGAAATTTTTGGTAAGGTTAAGAAGTCTTACGTCTATGAACAGTAAGGGCAAAAGAATTTTGAAAAGAAATTGTATATAATAACAATTATTTTATATAGTTGAAATAATGTGTTTATTTGTTTATTTACATTTTTTTTTGTATATTGAATTAATAAATTCAAGTTTTATAAGTTAATAAATATAATGATATTATTGTAAGCCAACTTAACTTCCTTAATATATTTTTAAAACCTTTACAATCCTCTATTTTGATTCAGATGACTCTTAATGATACCATCAAATAGGCTATGCATATCATTAAATAATCCTACTAAACAAAGATGACTGATTTTTTTATCAAATCCTACTTTATCAAATTATAGGTGTATTTGATCAAGAATTTTGTATATTTTAATATTATTGATATAATTATTTTTTTTGTATAGTTTTTTAGCTAATACTAATAATTACAAATAATTTAAAATCATATATTATACTGAAATAACTGAGTAATTTCATCCTACTTTAATAATAGATATAAAAAATTCAGAAAAATTAACAGTAATTGTTTTAATAAAGCATTGAGAAATTTATTGGTATTCAGAAGATCTCCACTTTTTTTAATGTAAATTTAATAAAGTTCTGCATGGCACTGCAAATGCAGATTAATATTTTTTTAAAAAATAATGTTTCTATAAAAATCTGTAATAAACTTCAAAATAGCAAATTTATCAAAATCTTTGTGCAAAAATCTTTGAAGATTTTCAAAGTTTTATTTTTTGTTTTGATAAGCTTCAGATGATCTTTATTTCAAATTACTTTATATAAACCTTATAAAACTTCAAAATTTCACATGATTTTTTTTAAAATATTTAATTAATTTTTTTTTTGAATTTGATATGATAAAGTTTTTTAGTAAAACATATATTTATTTAATAAAAAACAATTTTCTTTACTGAATCTTAACATTATATGTACTTTTTAATTAATAGACCTAACTGAAATAATGTTAAACTCTTCAGTATAATAAATTTGCGAACAATTATATAGGTCAAAAGTAAGTTTATATAGTTTTACTGCTGACTCTTGAAAAAATTTAAACAGTAATAATAGCTGTAAAGAAATAATCCATTAAAAAATACATAAACTTTGCACTAAGTAATCTAATCTTTAACATTCACTTATTTTTTTATATTAAGTTCCTTCATCTGACTTGAATTATTGTTCTTGACCTTCTTCAGAAATTATTATAATATTACTGAACCATTCTTTATTATAAAATTCTCCTACTATCCTTAATATCTTGTTATTTTTCAGATGAATAACATCATAAACTTTAATATAGAATTCATCACTTTCAGAATTTTATATTGACACATCCAAAAAAATATCTAAAGCTAAAATTAGTGTTTTGCAAAATATCTGATTCAATCTGATCCAGATCTGACAGATTAGATTAAATCAGATTTATTAGATTCAAATTATATTCAAATCCAGATTTGATTTGATTCGATTCATCAAATCTGAATCAGATTCAAATTTGAATTTGATTTAATCTGACAAATTCAGATTTAAATTCAAATTTAATCTATCAGATTCAAATTTGGATTCAGATTTAATTTGTTAGATTTGAAATAAAAATTCATTTCGAAAATTAGAAATAGATTTATAATTAAAGTTTATTAATTTTTAATAATAAAATACTGTTCTGATAGTCAGAGGTGGCATTTATTATTAAAAAATAAAAATATTTTTTTAATAATAAGTCTGTACCAAAATCAGAAGCGGCATTTAAATTAAAAATAAAAAAACTTATTTTTTAATATAAAGTCTATCCCAATAGTTAGAGACGCATTTATTATTAAAAAAGTTAATTTATTAATTTTAAATAATAAAATGCTATCCAATAGTTAGAGGTAGCATTTATTATTAAGAAAATTGATTTTTATTAATTTTTAATAAAAATTGCCATCCTGATTATTTAGATTGAAAAGAACTTTATTATTATTTCAGAGTTTTACTAATTTTATTATTATTATATTTATCTCAAAATTTTTTAGGTTACTTTTATTATATGATTTTTGTCTACTTAATATATACATTTTATTAAACTTTACATAAAGTTTGCAAAGTTTATAATAGTTTATTTGGTCTCATTCATTAAAGATTTTGTCTAATGCGAAAATTGCAATTTTCATTAAATGTCGATAATCAACTGCAATCATCACTTTTAATTGACCTAATTTACTCAATAATTTAAGGCTAGTAAAGTGAGGAATTTAACAAAGATATTTATCAAAATTCTTTTACAATTCCAATTTTTCAATTTTTTTCAAAATATCTTGCATATAATCCTATTAATATTTAAAGAGACCAAGATCAATATGATACATATGGTTAGGAATATAAGCTTCATAAATATTTAGATTTTTACGAAAATTTTAGTACTTTTTATTTAGTTTACTAATTGCAATCATTTTATATTATAGGTTTAAATAATAATACTTATAGAAATTTTCAGAAAGCATTTGTTATGGATAAGGTTGTTAGACGAAATCAAGAGTTTAGACAGACGTCTAAATGGTAAAAGTAAAACTTGGTTAAATTATATTAAAACCTTATTAAAAAATCTGTGAAATTTGGAAAAAGGTAAAACTATATCAAAGCTTATAAAAATGGCGAAACTATATCAAACACTTAGTAAAAATTTAGCAAAACTAAAGGTTTTACTATTTTGCCAAATCCAAAATGAGTTTAGACAAGCAACCTTAGTTATGGAATATATAGAGTAATCCTTTTCTTGATTAGTATCAATTACTTATATGTTTTTATGATTTCTGAGAGGTATATTCTCTAGTCTGATTCTCATATTATTTAAGTCATTGCGTAAGACTATGCATGTATAATATGGTATTTGATAATTAGATATTTTATACATTGCTGTTATTTCATTAGCTTCAAATATGTCTGAAAAAAAATGAAATCCATGCAGCAAAATAAATATGTTGTCCTTTGATTCTAAAGTATGACATCAAAATACTTATGAAATATTTTATGTTATAAATCTCTAAATGATTCAGTAAATTTGATTGTTAAATCCTGTATTTTGGGCAAAAACCTATAAGAACTTTAGATTTTAATAAGTTTCGAACTGAATTTGAAATATTTTTAAGTATCAAAAAAACTGGTTAATCTGAAGTTTTTTCAAGTCTATTGAAAGTTATCATATCAGAGTATAAAATAATGAATATTAAATGGTTTAGAATTAAAAGTGTCTTTTCTGTTTTTAACCATCAGTTACATTCGAATGGTTCTCTGAATATTCTTTCACTATTATCATTTTTTTAAAACTTCTTTGTAAACAAAATTATTGGTATTTCTGAATATTGTAATAGGGCCTAAATTGTGCAAAAAACTGGCTGATAATAAAGTTTAAATTCAACTTTAAGTAAATTATTAACAACCTTTTCTTTAAAATCTATCGAGGGTAAATTTATTTGATTAAGATAATCTTTGTCACTTTTCATCAAACTTAGCAATAAAGATTTTTTCAAATCACTATATTTATTGAAAATTTAATTATTCAATCTTATTATCTTCTATTACTAACTTCATGAACTTCTGATATACAGCATTCAGCCATTATGTAATATGTTCAGATTTATTTTTTCCTTCAATAGTATTCTAAATATCTTCTAATAATGCTTCCTGAAAGTCTTTAAGGTCAAAATCAAAATTTTTAAAGTTAATTAGTGATTAAAATTCTGTTTCTAATTCATCGCTCTCTTTATCATTTTCTTTATTATTAACATCATCTATTTTTATATGATACATTCGACTTTGCAGATTATATCTTGGTTTTTCTGTCAAATCACTTATGATGTCTAATAGAGTTTTCTTAAAATCATATTATCAACCTATGATATATGATTTTCTATTAGAAGTTAATTCTGATTCTTTAGTATAAGCTTCCATAAGTTCTGCTATTCTAGTAGCAGTTGATGTTAAAGCTGCTAGACAATTACCACATATTTTAGTTTTTAGTGCTGGCATTGTAATCAAAGTGTTTCATAAGTTAGCATTATATTCTAGCATCTTTTATGATCACTAATGATGAATTCCTTTACTTGGCTAAGAGAGTGTGTATTACAATATTGTGTTAATCTATAAGAATCTTTTCTGCAGATTTTGCATCTATATTTAGTAATCATTATTTCAATTAGATTTACAATTTACTTTTGATGATCAGTTGATTTTTATTTTAAATCAAATTTATTAATAATTTTGTTTAATTAATCTTTAGTGATTTGTATCAGTAATTTATTTCAATTATAATCGTCTAATTTTAGTTAACAATTATATTATCATCAATTTAATTTATTTTTGAAAACTTTAATATGTAAGTCACTATTAATATAATCAATAATTCTACAAGATTTCACAGGATGTAGGTTCGTCAAATATTTAAATTGAAAGTTTTTCCTTCATTCCTTAATTTATAACAAACTTTTATATAACTTTGATTATTTATTTCTCTTATTCTATTTTATAAAGTTTTATTCATTTTTGATTATTTTAATTGCTCACATATTATCACTAAGAAAGAAAAAAACTAAATCAAGTAATTTCTGAAAAATTATAGAAAAAAGTTTTGCGAAATATTGAAAATGTTTTTTTTCAAATGTTAATATGTAGTAAGTAATTTCTAATTTTTAAATATTTTCACTAAATTAATATCATAACTGATTTTTAATTTCTTATTCTTATAAAAGGAACCAGTATTAACCGATACTTCTACTTCAAGAACTGCAATAGCTTTTTATGAAAAATCATTTAAATTCTTGCAAATAATAATCACTTGGTTCACTTTTAGACCTCAATCTAGTAGTCATCAATAATAATGATGATAACTATTTTTACAAACATTATGACAAACACAATACTTTACTGTCTATTTTACCAGCTATTAGAAATAAATAATAATAGCTTTTTATGAGGTAGATGCAAATCAATGCTATCACAAAATGAAAGTCCTTATTTAACTAGAAAATAATTGTTTATATAATGTCATTATTAAACAATAAAATCAATTTCTTATATAAACTATACAGGAGTATTAGCAATAAATAACAAGAAAATTCAGCTATATTAAAAAAATTGTTGTTATTAATAAACTATCTGATAGTTTTTAAAATATAAGTTTTTAATTTCTAACAAGTTATTTTAACCTTTGAATAATAATTAATATATTTTTTTACAAAGTGCCTATAGAGAACTTATAAAATAACTTATACCAACTGTTTTATTCTCTTGGATACTGAGTATTGAACAGCAATAGAAGAATATTTTTCAGAATGCAGACCATTATATCACCAATATTGGAAAAAAGATTTGGCTATCAAAATTTGAAAACAAAATTTTATCAAAAATAAGTGAAAATTTTAAATTTTTAATAATCAAAAAGTCTGAATATTTATTATTATTTTTTTTTTTTGTAGAAGTAAAAGAAATAACTTCACAACAAATATTCAAAATATAATATTCACTGTATTAGGTAAATATCAATTAGAATATATTAATAGTACCATACCTTCGGTTAAGTTGACCGAATGGAAAATAAGTGAAAAGACTTATGCAGTTTACAATAAATTTTCATAAATAGTAAACTTCTTTCAAGATCAGTTATTTCATTTTTAAACCATATAAGCAAAAGTCATTATTTACTATGTATAATGTATATGTTCTCTCGATTTATGACATTCTTTTGAATTCAAAAAGTATATAGGCCAAAAGGGGGATTCTGGGACAGATTTCAAATAGACCTCCAAACCCCGCCTACGAATCAAATTTGCTATA